GATTCATGATGTCTGCAATGAGCACAGTACTGGTAAGTGGTGCCACGTGAGCCAGTTAGTCCATCCCTGTTTCTAAAAACCTTTGCAAGGAGGAACCTGTAAATAGCAACCTGATGGTAAACACCCAAGTGCAAGTCCATGCCTTTTGTATTTGTGTGCTCAGCACTTAGAATATGCTTATAAATATTAGCATTTATAATGCTAATGACCTCATAGCATTTCAGGTCTACAACAGAAGTTGAAGCCTTTTCCCATCTCCAGGTACCTTAATAATGCTCTGGCAGGTGGAGAGAGGCAGGCCCACCAAGCTGGTGCCGTTTATGGACATGATCTGGTCCCCGATGTTCAGCTTCCCCGATTTCTCTGCTGGTCCTCCGTGCATCATGTTGGCTATGATCACGGTTGGCAAGATGGATCCCCAGCCAGACTCGACAATTACCACACCTAGGATCTCCCCTTTCTGCTTCTCTATGAAGACCTGAAAAGAGAAAGAGACTTAGAAAGCCTGACCCAGCAGCCATCCAAAGTAGCGACAGAAATCAAAGCGTTTCCTCTCTTCCTGTCTGGATTAGACATGACAGACATTTCACTGATGACTCCAACCCAAACAAGTCATGTCTTCTCTATATTCCATGGCATCTGGAGTTTGTAACAAACGATGTCACACACGCCCATATCATTTTTGGTCATTCTTGTTCCACATAAGCAATCCTGCCTCAGTAATACAACCATGAGGGGCGGTTTTGTTTTGTTTTGTTTTCCTGCAGTCCCCAGTGAAAGAAAAAAGATATCGCGTAGGTGGAGGCTCTGGTGGTATGCTATGGTTTCCATCTTTTGGATTCCATGCACAGGTCCCCTCTTCCATTCCACAGTGTCTCACAAATCCTCTCCAACATTTAAGATTTCTAAGTTAAAAATAAATGCACATTATAGAAACACTTCTCTGCAAGGAGAAAGCTGAGGAAAAAAAGGGGGGGAAAAGGTTGGAAGTACAAAAACAGAAAGACTATGGCCCTAGAGACACATTTTTCGTGGCTTTCCCTAGCCAGGCAGAGAAGCTGGGAGTTAGTTTTGGATACGTGCAGTCCCTTAAGGCAGAGACACCATAAAGGGGTAAGATGTTTCTTGGAAGTAACCAGCGGAGAGTATGTGTGTATTTATTTATTCATGTTCACAGATCCACATATGCTCAAACACGTACTGTGGTGGGGGCTGTTGGGGGCTGTTGGGGCCTGACAAAGCCCCCTTCACAGGCTGGCTGGTGTCCCTTTCCCCCTGCTGCTGAAGCAGCTCGCAGCTGGCCCCTTCCACGGAGAACTGCCCTTGGCCAAGTGAGAGACACCATCTGTTACGGGCTGAACTGGGCTGCCGCCCACCCTCCCCTCTGCCCACTTTTTCCCTAGTGCACCCTCCCCCCAAATCCCTTGAACAACATTTCCTGTCTCAGGCCCTGCTTCCAGGGAACCTAGGACACCTAACATACATTAGTGGATAAACAGATCACTTTCTCATATCTACCGGGTGAAGTCCAAGCGCCTCACCTCAGCTGGGGTCCCGAGCCCTCCGGTTCTGCCCGAAGCCCACGTGGCCTCTGCACCTCCTTGCGCACATCCCTGCTCCAGCCACGCGGCCTCACTCCCAGCTCCAGACAACTGAGCTTTCAGATGCTCATGCTACTGTTACTCTGGCCCAGCCCTCTGCTCTCCTCTACCCTTTCCAAAGATTACCCAGACCTCCTGACCAGCTCAGATGGCCCCGCTCTCCCCTGGACACTCCTGCAGAGTTTGGTCCCTGGAGGGGCACGGCAGTCATCACTTGAGACCCAAGAGCCGAGACAGGCTCCATTCTGCCCAGCACGGTGGTCTCTGACCAGCTCCGTCATTTAACATCTTCCCTGCCCCTTCCTGGCCTGGGGGCTTGGTAAGGGAACCCGCCCCAAAGCCAGCTCAGGACTGCAGGGAGCAGAGGACGCCCTGCCTCACTGACCACAACCCTCAGCTGCAGTCTTTAACAACAGGGCCTCACGGCGGGGAACCAGAGATGGGCCTAAGCCCTCAGCAACGTCCTGTGTGTACCGCGCTCCTCACCCCCGGCCACTCCGCCTTCACCTCCCCAGCCGGGGGGGCCCAGCTCAGAGAACAGCTTCAGGAAAGTACCTACATCTTTGCAGTTTTCTGACTTGGAGAAGTGGATCAGGTCATCGTTGTACATGTCCTGGGTGTTGAGCAGGTCACTGTACTCCTTCTGGCTGAGATCTTCGGGGTTGATCCCGTTGGCCCTGAGGAATTCCTGGTACGCCACGCTAAACGCCTGCCCGATGGACTGTGCAATCAGCTGGGCCTAGACAAGAACCAGAGAGGGAAACGGGAGGTCAAGAGGGCAGCGTTGCCGGTGGACCACCCGGGTCCCATCCGGACTGGGGAGCCTTAGGCATCAACCAGCCAGCGGGTCTGGTCTCCACGCGGCACCACTGCCTGCTAGAGGTCATTTCTAAATCAGTGAGGACGTTTTTAAGTACAACAATGACCACAGGGGAGCTACTGACATTTGGCGGCTAGGAGTCAGAGATGTAAGACTTACTGCCACGCGAGGACAGGCCTGCACAGGACGAGCTGTTCTATGTCCTGCAGTTCTCTAATATCCCACCGGACACTCATGTACATGTAACACCTGCGTCTGATCACCTGCATCTGGGACTCAAGTCTAGTTTATATTGGAACACAATACTTTAACTGCACCGCTCTAAAACACACCGAACACTGCTAGGATACAACTATTACTATGCAGATTGAGATAAGCCAATACTTTGCTTTGTCCATCATTTTACCAGGGGTAAGCTTTAGCTTTGTGACTTCGGAACATCACCAGCATCTGTGCAGTCTGTGGGACGCAGGTCACAACAGATCACACCCCCATCAGGCTGCACGCTGGCTGTAGTGTGGTGATTCTGTGTGCGTGTGTGTGCCTGTCCAGCTCCTATTTTCTTATTTAGCCCGTAATTCAAAATGTCAGGAAGTTTACAAGCGTCAGCCGAATACTGTGTTCTCATAGCCAAACTTACTAATCAAGCAGGTGTAAGCAGCAGACAACTCCATTATTTCTCCTGGAATGGCTGGGCCCATGTATTTACATGTTGTAGTTAAGTACAACTTTATTTTAGATGGCTTTCCTTTTACTTCTCCTTTGTGTTACATTTAAGGCAATACTTTTGTGAAAAAAATTTCAAAAAGGGAGATTATACTACCTATGAAATTCATTTCAGGATAGTAACGGGACATGACAAAATATTTATTATGCAAAAGGACTGTTGAGTCCAGCAGAGTCGAGAACACGGATCTAGTCTGACCTTGCATTTTTCAAGTGACGAGACTGAGGCTCAGAGACACAAAAGAACCGGCTCTGTGTCCACATAGCTCACAGGACGAGAACTCTGCTTCTATTGTGGCTTCTCCTGCACTGGGCTTTGATGGCCTTTCCTTGCATTAATCAATCAACATCACAACACGGGACAGCCAGCAGCACTGGGGCACTTCTTACATGCCGGTGCTGCTTATATGCTATACAGGCACCACCACATACATCCCCACATCAAGCCTACGATGGAAGCATACCTGGTCCACAAGCCCTCATCCTCAGCTCTGGAGGCAATGTTTCAGAAATTCAGAAATGTTCACATTTTAGAAAGGTAACCAGGTGCATATATCATACATTGTATACAAATCCCATTTGAGCCTGGAGCAGTGCCCTATACACAAATACAGTAACTTTCCTGCAGCAAATTGTGTAAGAGTCACGGTAAGCTGGACAAATCCTATGAAGTGTTTCATGGCAGCTCAGAGCAGGTTTATCAGCCAACGGAGTACAAAAATGCCTTTTGTTTCTCAGAGCTCTTAGACTTTGGAATTGTGGATCTGTCCTATTTGTTCCCATTGGACAGATCAGGAAAAGGAGGTTGAGAGCTTAAGTTGGGGTGGGAGTGGGTGGGGTAGGGGCTGGGAATCCTGGCAGCCTGATTCTGGAGCCCCTCTCCTGCCCACTGCTGGGGACTGCCACTCTGTCAAATTGTAGAGGATAGAAAACTCATAAAACAACAAAAAGCTCTAAGGCAATGTTTTACACACACACACACAATTCCAGTCTACTTCTCCTCTCTCCACCTTTGGTAAGTTTTGCCAGAAGGAACAAATTAACAATGACATCAAACACATTAGGAATCAACCAAACTTCTATAAAAACCAACCAACCAACCCCAGTGATAGCAGACCTTTCTGGCCGGGGCTAAGAAATGCTTAGCTTTTCTCCCTCTGAGAATCTGCTGACATCACATGCCGCAAGTCCCATCAGGGATCATCATCTGCCTCCTGCCGAGGCGTTGCTGCAGGCACCAGAGATTCGTGTGGACAGGCGGACTGAAAAAACGTATGTCCCAGAACCTGACCAGCAGACTGCCCGACCGTCATGAGTGGATGCTCCTGGCAAACGCACAGGCTACTGAGATCCACGTCCGCCTGAGGCACACGGCACCCGCTGTACACTGGACGCCCAGCAGCCGCAGAGCCCGCCCGCACAGTGAGGGGATTCCTACCCAGCTCTCCCACTTCTGGAGCCCACACACGTCTTCTGTCCTGGGCTTCGGAAGCAAAGCGGCGAGATTCCCAGGTCCACTCGTGCTTCCCCACTCTTCCCCTTCGTCCTGTCCCCTGCAGACACAAGACCCCGGGGGAGAGCCACCCTCCTTAGAAGCGCCAAGCCAGGGGGAGGTGGCAGACGATGGACTGTGCTGGGACCTTCATGCCTGGTGAGCTGTGCTAACTCCACCTTTTCCCCAGCCTGCAGGGCACATGAAGCTTAAGATTTTCAATTTTAACTCCTTTGGAACTTTCCGAGAACCTTCTAAAACTCATTTTCTCCCAGTTTGCAAGTCTGGCCACTGTTTTAGAGGAATAGTGGGGAGAATGGCCAGGACAGATGCTGCAAGCTCTGCCTTCTCAGTGACCCTGTCCCTGGGGTTGCTCTCTAGGGAACCAGATGTGTCAAGGGTGGTACGAATGTATAAGCACCTGCCCTCTGGCTACAGCCACGACAGCTCCAGTTCCCTGGAGGAAAGCAGCTTGCCCCTGCCTCCTGACTTCCCAGAGGAAGGCCATTTGCTAGATGGACACTCCTTCTAAGGAGCCAAGGCAATTTTCTATAAGTAGATAAGGGCTCTCTGCTCAATATGAGAAACAGAGCGTTCTCTACTGCAGCAGGAGGAAAAATCAGCCCAGTAAACAGCCCTGACAGGGCCCTCTCTGGGGAGGCTCTGCAGTTCAAGACCATCGTAGGACTGGATCCCTGGTCAGGAGGGAATTTCCGAGGCCTGCCAAGCTTTGGGAGAAGCTCGCGTGCTAATGCAGCCTGAAGCCTGGTGGCCTCGCCAGCAGTTCCAGGGACAACCGGGAAAGAAGGATGAATGCAAGAATGGGCCCCACCCCTGTTGTGCACTGACTTCCTCTGTTGATTTTATCACTGGGAGACACGGGCGTGAGAAATCACTAGCTTCGGGAAGGGAGGAGCAGCTGGTTTTCCTAAGGAATGGGAGTGGGTGGTTGGAGCTCTTGCGATTTGGTGGGTAGGGGCAGGGATCCTACCTTTACTGTTAGGAAAGGGCATTTCCTACACATCCATTTCCAGTCCTTTCCAAATACCCTAGTGAACCAGGTAAGACCTGTTCAGGCCCCTGTGGGTCTGACCGAATTCTTCCCACTTTCTCTCTAGTGTCTTGCCTCCTTGCCTTTCCTCAAACTACATCAGCAGGCCCCTGCCTCAGGGCCTTTGCACCTTCTCTTTCCTCACTCTCACTCTGTTCAGATCTCTGCTCAAACGTCACCTCAGAAAGGATGTTGTTCATCACTCTCCCTGAAATAGCCCCTGTCCCTCTATCCCTTGACCTAGTTTAATTTTTCCTAATCAAACTTCCTACTACCTAGTTTTATACTGAGTACATTAATCTATTTTCTGTCTCTTTACAACCTTTATGATGGTTCCTTTTCTGTTTTACTCAGCCTTATATCCCTTGCACTAGAACAGTGTTTGACATGTAGTAAGTGCTCAGTAAATATCTGTTTCACGTACAATTTAGGTTCTAAGAACTAGCGGTAGCCTGTCGACCCAAGGGCAGCCTAGATCACACAGAGGGAGAGTAGGGGAGCCACCCTTACGTCCTCAGACTCGAAGACGTGGCAGATCATCTTGTACTGCCTTTTCCCATCCTGCGACGGGTGGGAGGCTTCCACATTCTCCTGGGAATTGGAGCGGGGCATCCGCCTGCGGGCCATCAGGACAACGATGTTCCCGATGTCTGCGATGTAGGAAATGGTCCTCAGAGGGTGGTCCATCATTGTCTCCTGGAAGGCAGAAGGGAGAGGATGGGAAGTCTAGTGTCGCATCTAATGACCCATGAGAGTGTGCCACCCCAGGGCCCGGCCAAATGTGGTCCACACTCAGCAGGAGGGGGACTCCAGGGCTCACCGTAAAGACTCAGTGCGCAGATTTACGTGCCCCACCCAGGCCTGGGGGCAATTCCCTTGGCTTGTGATAACCCAGAGCAGGGAGTGGTCTGTGGTATGTGAAAAGAAACTTTAACCGTTTTACAACCAGTAGAATTTCTGGTGGGGAAGTTAAAATATAAAAAATCTGCATGTGATGGCTATATTTTATGTGTGTGTGTATGTGTGACTTTAAGCAAAATTTATTAAAAGGCTAATCTGTTCAAGTTCATGAATCTTCTGATAAAAACTTACGAGAATTACTAACAAACAATATCCATGGTTTATTTCTTCCTTTGATCTTTAATAGCCCCAAACCCCCTACCAAGCTCTCCCCACCCTCTGACTCCAGCAGCACAATGTGTGGAAGCCAGCAACTAGGGACAGCTTCTCTATGGACAAGGGCACAGTCCCTTGGTTGCCACTAAGTTTCACCCCCTGGGAAGGTGGGAGCCAGCTGATACCTGCGTGTCGGCATTCAATACTTTAATTCTCTGGGTAGAAATGAAGAGGTCCACCTCGGTCATGGGCTGAGATTCACCTTCGGGAGCCTGAGAAAGAAAGTGCACCAAGGGAAAGCTTAATACATTACTCTGACCCAGGTACACGGGAGCAAGGTTAGCTCACACACAGAGGCATGGAGACACAGTCACCAGAACAGCGATGCAGACTCCAGAATCAGACTGCCCAAGCTGAAGGGACCACAGAGAGGATGAGCACGGGGACAGGAGTGAGCACAGGGAGAAATGCAGAATCCCTTTGCTTCTTTCCCCTTGGAGGCAGTAACTCATTGCAGTAGTTTCGACTCAGTGATTGTGAATGGCGCTCTCTGCAAGGGTTTTGGAGCCCAACAGGTTGAAGGAATAAGGGTGATGGACTCACACCCCAGGACCTTAGAGGAGGTCCGAGTTTGCTCCTGCTCAAGTGTTTAGGCACAATGTTTACAGCAGGTGCAAACCAGGTGTTTGGAGGCAGTTCTGGTAAGAGGGTCTTCACGTTCACACACCACCACAGCAACACAGAAGCAGTACCCACCCCGAGAGCCACCCTACTAAGAAAGAGCCCCAGTGCCTCCACGTCCCACGGGTAGCTCATAAGCACCTAGAAGCTCCACAACCAAAAAAGCGCATCAGTCTGGTTCATTTAGGGCTTCACTCTGCACACGTGGTTATTAGCGAGTTTTCTTTTTTGCATCCAGCAATCTGACAAATCCACAAATCAAACATGACTGTAATTGGGCAGACCCCAGTCCCTGCCACGTGAATGCTCCTGAACGGTGGCAACGTCCACGCTACGGTAGGACTCACTTGGCATCCCCAATCTGCTCCCTGTCGTCCCTCTGAAGTGAAATGACTCATGAGCAACAGAAAATGGCCACTTTAGGCAACTGAGTTTTGAGAAACGTTGGCTTATGGGGGCGGTTCAAAAAGAAATCTGAACAAAAACTTGCTGGATGCAGAAAATAAAAACACGAAATAAGAAAAAAGGCAAAACAAATAAATGAAAAAAAAACAAAACAAACAGGCATAACACCAAGCTGATGACGTTGTTTGTACTGCACCTTCTTCCTGCTTTTGGCTAATTTCTGGGCCATCTGCTTAGCATGGAACAAACAGAGACAGGAGAACAGTTAGAAGAGAACTTGCAGAGACTCAAAGTTGAAAAGGGAACTGACAAACTAGTATCAACAGGGGTGTAAAGCATCTCTGTGGGACGGAGCCTGGCTTAAAAAAATCCCACTCTGTAACTGATCTCCTAAATCAGAATTTAGTAGGTGGCAGGGGCAGGAGGAGGAAGGAAATGTACTGAAGTGCTTCTTATACTTAACTGCAAGTGATGTTTTCAAAGAACCAACTTTTGGTTCTTTGACTTCCTTCACTATATGCCTGTTTTCAAATTGCAGTGATTTCAGCCTCTATATTTCCTTCTACTTTCTTTGGGTTGAATTTGCTGATTTTTTTTCTAACTTCGTAAGATGAAAACTTAAATTACTGATTTCCAAACTTTTTTCTTTCCTGATATATTTACATAAAGCTATGAATCTTCCTCTTAATCTCTGCTTTAGCTGTATTCCACAAATTTTGATATACTACAATTATTGTTTCATTCAAAACATGTTCTAATTTCCACTGTGATCTCTTCTGTGAACCTTATTTAGAACTGTGTTCTAAATTTAATACATTTGAAGATTTCCTAACTATCCTTTTGTTACTGATTTCTGAATTTACTGTTCTCCCTCTTTATGTCTAGTATTACTTCTGGCCTTAAATTTGTGTAATACTAATATAGTCTATCCCTAACTAGAAATGGATGTAGTAGTCAAGACAGCATAGTTGATAAAGGCAGAAAGTCTGGGGTCAGACTTTAGAAACTGAATGCTGGCTCTGCTACTTACTAGCTGTGTAACTGGGAACAAGCCATTTAACCTCTCTGTGCTTCATTTTCCTCAACTGTCAAATGGGGATTAAAAACAGTATCTACTTCATTGGGCTGTTCTGAGGATAAAACATATACAGCTGACCCTTGAACAATGTGGGGGTTATGGGTGCCACCTGTTGCAGAGTCAAAAGTCCCCATGTAACTTAGAGTTGGCCCTCCATATATGCAGTTCGCTTCCTTTGTATCCACAGTGCTGTGTCCTTGGATTCAAGCAGTCTCAGGCCGTACAGCACTGTAGTATTTACTATCAGAAAAAACCCGCATTTAAGAGGACCTGTGTTGTTGAAATGTCTACTGTATAGACCACGGTGTCAGAACAGTGCCTGTGCATTATAAGCACTCTATTTGTGTTTGCTCTTATATGATTATGATGTTAGATGACTGTAATTTACCTACATCAGGATGCAATCTCTCGGCTTTGAATACTATGTATACACAGATCTTGCGCAAATCATGGTGAGTTGATGGCCAAACCACGGGCACCGTCGTGGTGCTGGGGGTGGGGTGCAGGAAGAACTAAGTGCTCCCCTGTGCTGCTCGGTACTCACCTGGTAGCAAAGCTCTTGCTCTCAGCAGCACAGCACTACCTCATTACTGACTAAGATGTGTGGTCTGTGCTACCTCATCATGAAGAAACTGGATGCATCAGCCACCCAAACACCACACAGCTCACCTCTGGTGCAGCTAGGAAACTCGGGCAGCCCCGCTCCCACACAGCCACCCCACAGCTCTTACTGGTGGTCAGGAGTTCATGGTCAACAGTCTTCTCTGGAAAAGTCTGAAGGCAGCAACTGCAAGCGTTATCCTAACTGCTGCACGTGATAGTCGGATTATTTCCGCCTCTGAGGAGTGGTCCTGATGCCACGGCACAGAGGTTCCTGGGTGGAATCTGAGAGTCCTGCTGGGGGTGTTCTGATCCACACCACTTAGAATCCTCAAGACAGATGACTGCTGTGAGCGTCTGATCTGCCTGTCTTTTCCTACCTCCCCTGAAAGGATATGGCAGTAATGCACCAATTTCATTATTTGATACCCAAACCTAACAGCTACTGGTCAGAATTCTTCACTCTAGGGAAGAGTGATCTGAAAGGGCCCTTTTCAAGGGAAAGTAAGTCTGCCACCAATGGAATGCCCAAATTCTGGTTTCTTATACTGGAATGAGTGATGAGGAAGAGGATTCGGAAGGCAAACTGAGTTTCATGAAAGGCATTCTGAGACAATTTTTATGAAGTTAAAAAATATCTTTTGCACTTAGAGTAATACCACCTTGAAATCACTTATGAAATTCCAGTGCCCTGAAACAAATTAGCATTAAAAATTTAGATATAACATTGGAAATGATGATGAGATTGGGGCCAGAAGGAGAAACTGGAGCAGCAGGGAAAGGTCTAAGGGAACCTTAAGGCCAGCACACACCTTGAAGCAAGGAATGACAACATGCACTGAAATCCTCGTGTCTTAGGAGACTGACTATGGCTTACCACCCAGCAGGCTGTGGTTCAAAGGACATGGCACTGTCCGTCCAATCACTCGATCCACAAAGTGTACTGAGTACCTGCTGTTTTCAGACTCTCCAGGTTAGTCATGCTGGGTATCTTCCCGACTAGTCTAGCTTTTCTTTCCCCAGCTGACATTCACTGAGCACTTGGTATGTGCCAGTGTCCTTCTAAGCAGTTCACATCAATCAGTGTAACAGCTTACAGCAACCCTGTGAGGTAGGCACTACATTACCCTCACCTCTCAGAAGAGGCAATCGAGGCACAGAGAGGCTAATTAACTTGCCCAAGGTCACACAGCTATTAAGTGGCAGAACAGATATTCAAACCCTGGAATTCTCACTCTACATTCTAAACTGCTCTTGTGCCATCTGGACAAGTTTCTCCTCTATAAATCCCTCAGTCTGTCTGTAAAATGGAGTTAATAATACCTACCTCACGAGACTCCCCACCCCCTCCATGTGAAGGCATAAATGAATTCATGTACATGAAGGGTCTATTCTAAGTGCCAATATCTTCTTTATCAACCATCGACTTCTTTAAGTTAGATGGGAAATCAGATGGCTTAGACGAAGCTACATGGATAGAAATTTTAATCTACAATTAAAACATAATATTTAACACTTAAAATGTTTCCATAAAAGAATGAAAAAAAAACCTCATCTTTTGGGGCAGGCTAGTAAAGACAGATATAAGAATATTTGATAATGAATGCTTCTTACAAAAACGTATGGACCCAAAAATAATCAAATGCTATTTGTGAGCTTCATAAATGTATATGTATAAAGAAAATGGAGACCCATATACCACACTCTGCATGGACATGAAGCAGTTTCTGTGGCTCATGTAGCGGTCAGTAGGTCCCCCCGCCTTCCAGGCGAAGAGCAGAGAACGAGGTGGGAATGAGGTTGGAATGGAGCATGGAGATGCAGGGAGAGAAAGGCAGGCAAGTGAGGGAGCTGCACGGGTTTCAAGCTTGGTTCTCTAGGGAGGGTTAAGGCATGGTTTCCACACTGGGGGCTGGGGGAAGCGGGTGTCTGCCTCGGGCGCTTTAGACACTGACAGTATGGAGGGCAAAGTTCTCTCCAGAAGTTTTTCCTAAAACAGGTTTAAGACAGCCCTATCACCAAGACTACGCGGTATCACAGTAATGTATTCTGCATTCAAGTAACTGTGGAAGCGTCCGGTTAAACAGACTGAATTAAATCTCCTTAGGGCAGGACTTCTCAGAGCCTTTAACAGGAAAACGTATGTGGCAAATACCAGAAAGGTCTGTTCTGCGGCATTTCTTGAGCTTATTTGCCAAAGCAGCCCCATCACTGAGAAGCCCTTGGCTTGACTGGAATGTGCCGGCACAGCTGGAGACAGAAGCTCCCAGGACAGATTCCTGGGCTCCACCCCCATGAGTTTCTGACAGGGGCGGAGCCTGAGAATCTGCATTTTAAACAAACTCCCAGGGGCTGCTGCTGACTGGGGATCCCCACTTTGAGAACATTTCTGAATCATATGGGGGCTTCCTGGAAGGATACGCCTACCTCTCAAAAGTGATGAACAAAAGCCAGAAAGGATACGTTAGAGAAGATGCAAAGATGAAAAAAAAACTTTACAAAAATGACAGATGTCCTCTAATTCTGCTACTGCATTCAGACGCACCTTATTTCCTACATTTTTGCTAGATGGAGACGTCTTTTAATTTCAGATTCCTCGGCCTGCCTAGTGTTATTGTTACCTAAACACCCCTCTTGCCTCCCTTATTAGACTGCATGTTTCTCAGGGTCAAGGACTGGATCTGGGCTGATTTTTATCTCCTGAGATGCCTATCACAGGATCCTGCACAAGGACAGTTTGCTTTTTGAGCCAAATTCATATCTAGCTAAACCAGAACTCCAAATTCTCTCCCCACCTAGGCAAATATATCTTACAAGGTCTTTGTTAGATTAAGAGGATTGTAATTCTTAAGACTCCAAGTATAAATCCAATATCACTATTTAATTCCAGTCCACACTTGGTGCTATGTGAGTGACAAACACTCTGTCATCGACGGACAGACCCGAAATTAAAGCCTGCTTTGAAGTGGAAACCCGAGTGTCAGGTTGAGTGCTTGCTTAGAGAGGGGGCACCACAAACACACAGACGGCCACAGCTGGACGCCTGCCTGGCGAGGTGGGTCTCACTCACATCGCCGGGTCATACAAACAATGGAGGCAGAGGAAAGAGAGGGGCACGGCGGGATCCCCGTGGGGAGGGAGGAGGAGGAATCAGAAAAATAAAGAGGGGAATTCCTCTCTCTTTGTAGGTGAAAACACCAAGCCAGAAATTACTCATCAGTTTGTGGTGAGGGTATTATTTCTAAATGGATTTCCAAAGAAATCCACAAAGCTTTTTTGGCCCCTTCCTCCCTGGAGGGACGTGGCGATAAAATATTTATAGCCTGATTCTGCTCTGCATCCCTCTAGAGGTGGCCTAGAGTAACTCATTCCTGAAAGGTCAGCTTCTCTTGAGGAAAAAGAGTGGCACCACCTCCCTCAGAGAAGGAGGGGATGCTAAGCACGTGGTACACACCCCTCCTGAAACTGCCCAAGTAACATGGAGAAATTCTCTCGGCCCCTCAGTTCCCTGTGCACAATCGCTAACTTTCTAGGGGCACAGAAATAAACTGTGGGTTCTAAATGCATGCAGCCTTCTCCACTTAACGATTTGAAAAATCATCAGGCTGGGTATAAAGGCAAACAATCTGACAGCCATTTAAATGGATGTAAAAGGAACACGAGGCAGAAAATATTTAATGACAGGCAACAGTTCCTTCAGATGCATAGAAACACACCATAAAATGATACTTATAAGTGAAATGCAACCATTTAATCTTATCGCACTGTAATGAATTCCTCACACTACAGTAATTTGCTATTAAAATAAATACATGCTTTCCTGATGCTTACTCTGCTCTAGGCAGGTCTAACATGGATTTATAATCACAGAGCCACTGTCTCGCTGGTTTTGATTGACAAAGACATCAAATTTTTTGTTCAAATGATCTGTGGAACTTCTGGATACCAATCCTCTGAAGCTTCAGAGTAAACTTTCTGGTTTCTCATCAGGCTGCTGGAGAAAGAACACTCTCAGAAACCACTGTGGAAATCAGAAGGTACGCGTGGCCCTGGGTGGGCGTGGTCCGGGGGTGCGGGAGTCCTCCCCGCAGGCTGCTCTGCACTCAGGTGACGTGCCTGTGCCTGGGTCCCCCTCACACGTCACAGGGCAGCGGAAGGGCCGAGAGACTGTCTGCAGGCATCAAGGGCTACCCGTCAGGAGCCAATCAACAGAACCTCGGGAAAACTCATCTCAAAGCAACACGCAGTTTTTGGTCTCAGGCATCTTCAGTACCTTTTTCAGGGCAGACAGTTGCTTTGTTCTGGCCCAAGGTGCTGGCGGCACTCCATGGCACACGAACCACATGGTGCCACCTAAGGGTCCCTATCGCCCTGGGCTTGTCCATAATTCTAGGTGGTATTGGCATCAGGGTGAAAGTTCTAGAGCTCTGCATTTCCAATGCAATCCAACCAGTTCTGGCTGGTTCAAACTAGCTGTGAATGATTTCAACTAGACAAAAGTCGTTCTTCAGGGAGCAAATAGGCTCGCTCCTTTTAAATCTTGACAAAACAGATCCAGACAGGTTATGACTGGTTTGAATTGGGTTAGCCTTGCAGTGATGTGGTTCAGACTAGCCAGGGTAGATTTGATCAAATGGTTTGCCTTCTGTGAAGCAAGCCAGTTCCGTCTGGCTTGAATGGGATCAACCAGTTCAAAAGCAGTGAGACACAGTTTGCGTCACACTGTAACACAAATGTTTCAGTCACCGATCTCCACCTGCCACTGGAAGTGCAGTGACACAGCTCTCATGTTGGAACTACGACACTTAAACACTGTCCTTCCGCATCATCTCAACTTTTCTAAGCTGTGATCATATGTACTTTCTCCTCAAGACTGGCCACTAAGGACAACCAAAATACATGGTAATTATACATCAAGACTCCAGCACACTTTGGAAACCTTTCTCCTGTTAATACTGTTAGCAGGTACATGGATGAGCACCGCTTGCCATGTCACTTCCGTCTACTCTTTTCTAAACTCAGGACTAGATCCACGAGGGATGAGGTGCCCCCTGTGGACGGCTCAGGGGCCCACACCTGCCACCGCCCCCTTGGAGCACACGGCGCCCCTCACCTTGATCCTGCTCACTGCCTCCTGAGCCTGCATCATGCGCACGTTTTTGGAGGGAGTTTTGTCTGAGAGCAGCTGGGTGGAGCCGAGGTAATTGGCAGCAAAAATGATTCCATCGATCAAGTCCTCGGGGTCACAGGGTCCAGGAACTGTAACACACGGAGCCATGGTGGTAAGAGAGGCCACTGCCATGTCCCCATCCAAGCCACCTCTTCCCTGCTGCTCGGCACTAGCACAGGTGGCCCAGTTCCAGGGACCCCAGAGTAGGTGCCACCTCCTGCTAACCTAAGGCATCCCTCTGGTCTACCTTCACTCAGCCCTCGTTTTCAAATAGAAGGAACAATTACTTCTTAGGTCCATTTACTGTGAGAAGCAGTGTGAATATTTAAACATTAAACAAAATTCAGGGATAAAGGATATTGTTTCATGTGTTAGACTGTGAGCTCTTTGAGGGCAAAGAGCACGTCACACTTGTCTCTGGCTCTCCTGTGTCTAGTCAGTATCCGTCACCCAGTGGGTATCAAATAAATGTTTGCTGGACACACGCTTGGGTGAGCAGAAGGCTGTCTTATTAGAAGACTTCGTTTCACAGCCATTCCTTTACTGGCCACCCATTCATGTTCCCCACCCCCTATCTATTTTATTCACAATGGGAGAAACAAATTTTATAAATCAGAAAAATGGGGATGGGTTTCAGATTGTTTGGATTCCTATAATGGCCTCTGACCTCAGTTCTGTAAGAGAGATATTACCCCAAAGCCGTGGTCTAATGCTGTCAACCTCCCCGACTTACAGGCTATATTGTTCCCAGCCTGCATCCACACATATATCAATTCCAAGGGAAATCAGAATTTTCTGTTCTCATTGACCAGACTTTTAAATCAAACTTTAAATATTTTAAATTGGGGGCATCTGATTCTAACCACAATCACTTGTAAATCCTACTGGAAATTAAAACATGTTTGGGCCTAACATATAACTTTCCAACAGACGCACTAAGAGAGGCATTTTAATTCTACAAAATGGAAATGTATATATTTTCCTTAAAGCCCACTGCTAAAACTTCAGTGTTTCAAATTAGATAACTTGAAATGGAAACAATTTGCTTTTTCCTCTTGGAGAGCTAATCTGAAATGGCTTTTATTTTTATCCTTACACATCAAGCTCATCTTGAGCTTAACAGCTGCTTCCCAGAATAAGCTACTTATCAGGGTACAGACCTAAAACAATCTATTCCCTTCCCTAAAACCAAGGTGGTGGTGGAAAAAAAGAAATTAACAATGTTTTACAAAAGGCCATGTTCACAAAGCATCTGTGTTGTAATTAAATAAGGAAACCTGTTTATTTTTTCGATTCTCAGTCTTTCTGAGAAGGACTTCTGGGCAAACATTGAATGGTACCCAGACAAACCTGCCTCCACTACATACCAGTCATTTACATGGTTCTCAGCAGCCACGTGCTTTCTACTCTGAAACTTTTATAGATGTGAGAAGGATTCAGGTCATTCCCAATGTACAACATTTGTCGTATAGCAGGGAAGCACTGTCTAAATAAAATCATATGTGGACAAGCTTGGGCCCACTCTATGCCTTGTAAATGGATTCACAACATTATATAAGCATAATCATTTTTGCCAACCAGCTACTGAGAAAAAAGAGATCTCATCTGGGACAGCAACTTTTAAGAAACTTTTATTTATTTGGGGAAAATAATGAATGTTAAGAGAAGAACAAAAATGAAATATCTTCTCTACAGAACTCCCAATATCATATATTCATCACTGAATTTAGCTCTAGTTACTGAAAAGGGTCTCTCTTCGACCACAGTAAGTATAGATATGCAGATATGTTTAAGAGCAACCCAGATAATATTTAAATGGCTGTATAAATGTCAAGCAGCCAAGAGAAATATTGAACCTAAACACATATAAATTCAAGATATGATCTTATGTCAGTTATACTCCAGGGAAACTGACTAGAATCAAATGTCACCGTGTAACACTCACAAAAAAAGCCCTCGTTTCCTAAGCTCATTTTAGGGTCAGTGCTAGTGTATTCTTTTAAAAGTTAAAAAAAAAAATTGAAGCTATAATGGTCCTAAATCAAGGAATCGCAGGCTTTCCCCTTCAGTGATGCCTGTGTGTTGCTCTGCAGGTGAACAAGCACACACAGTACATCTTCACCCTCATGTCAATGCTGAGCTTGAAAACCTCTAGGCCTGGAAGAATGGATATGAAGAATAGTTTCCAAACATCTGAAAACTCCCCAAGGTGTTCTTGTGGAGTTTTGGAGCTTTGAAAAAATGGTGCAAATAATTTCCAGGTTACTCAAGAAAGAAACTTGGGTAAAAACTGAACCTATGAGCTTGTCTGGGCTTCAAGCCCAAGGGTTAAGGAAGGTTTATGAGTCCAGGTAGTTCATTCTTGAGCAGTGGAACACACTGACTGTTCACACACAGGCTTCAAAGGCCAAAAATGCTGTCTGGGCATCCTCTGGCTCCCAGAAAATCCTTCTTCAAGGAAATGATAGTGCACCCTGCCCCCAGATCATCTGCCATCCTCCCTGGTAGACAGTCAGTGGCACTGACCCATTTGTGTGGTTGGCCTGAAGCTGGGTGCCGAGCCTGGATGGTGTCTGGCCCCACCTGGCCTGCTGATGGGATGCCTCTGTGTAGTGAATAACCTGAGTGGCAGCCCTGCATACAAAACAGATTACAGAGAGAACTGTGGGGTCACACTGCTGGTTTGTGGCTTTGCTCTGCTCCTCTGAGGGACCCTGGGAAAGTTGTGCACGCCCTCCATGTCTCAGTTCTCTCATGCACAACATGGAGATAACACTCAAACCCACTTTACAAGATCGACGGGAGGGTTCAATCAGTTATTACACGGAAAGTGCTTAGAACAGTACCTGGCAGAGAGTAAGTACTTGATGTTACTATTACTAGCTCATTCAAGTGAGAGACAGGAATTATTGGGAAGGTCTTTTAAAAATTTTTTTTTAAGTGAAGAGAACCCAAACTTCTCCCTTAGTTAAACCTCCTTCCCACCTGAATGGTCCTTGAGGGATTCAAGAGGTACACCGGACCAGAGGTAAGGGAGCTTGTTGGATTTTGAATTCACTCTGGCCAGTCCTAGGCTGGGCAAAGCCCCCCGCCTCACACCAGCCTCACTCTGGCCTCAGAGTTCCCCGGATGGAATCAGCAAAGGCAGGGAGCAGGGTCTTGAGAGGGTCACAGCTATTGTTCTTTTAGTCTAAGATTCTAAGACTTAAGACTATGAATAAGCGACTTTGTGGCCTTTTTTCCCCACTAGCATTTCATGGCCCAGTGCTTCAAATGCTAAAAGATTCATGAATGACTCAGTGTTCAATATTTCCTTTTCAGTTCTTACCTTCAACGTAGGTTGGGAATGAAGCCAAGCTTTTTCTTGACTGTAATTAAGACAAAGAGGTTTCAAAAAGGGCAAAGCATGATGAAAAGTGTATTAACACAATCATCCACACGACTTGAAAAATAAATACATCACCAATGGCAGATATTAACCAGCTGTCAACCATTTTTGGCTACAGAAAGTAAAGTGTGAATAAACATACACATTTATTGTTAAAGGTCACTCAAAGCCCAGAACCATCCATTCATATTTTAGATAATCTGAAAATCCTGCCTTCCACAATCAGAGAGATGTTTGTCATCTTAAAGACTAAATCATGGACCAAAATTCATAATCAGTAATAGCAATAAAAAGGGCTCAGTTTGTATTCTTAAGAATCTGTGTGTCTGAGTGAGAAACTGCTGATTAGCAAAAGCACCAACGAAATGATTATATGTTAAAATTAAGAATTCGCTTGGAGAATTTTATTCCACTTCGCTGCACTGATCTCTCACTGTGCTAAAAATGGCTGCAAGTTTTTAATCTCTCCCTTTCATCTCTTACTGATTTATTTTAGTTAAAAAATTCCATTACATAAGTCATTATTGTGTGTTACCTCAAAATAAGAACACAATGAACAAAGAAGTAATTTAAAAACCTTGGAATTTCTTATATTAAGTAACACCTCACAGAAAAGGTCAGACTCCCAATAGCATCCTTGGAAGTGGATATAATCAGCTAGAAACCTTCTAGAACCTGACTGGATGGCACTTAAAACGCTAGCTCTCAGAGGAGTAATACTTACCACTTGGTTCCCTTCACAACTATCACCACTGTCCTAGAGACAACTCTGAGTGGAGTAAGAGTAGACAATTCTTTCCTGCTTCAACCAGTAACAGAATTTGCAGCTGATATGTCTGGAGCAGGGTAATGTGAGCATTGCAGGAGTGGAACGCTAAGGTAAAACACAAGAGTCCCTAAAATGGCCAAAGGTTACCCTCAGAAAGCCTAGAGATTTTCATTGCTAAGAAGCTACCAGGTGTTAGGTGATCATTTAAGTATGTGCCTTTCAGAAGAAGACAACACAGCTACTCTATGGGTTGACTTGAATGGATGGCACACTCTGGGGTGCCTTGTGGGCTGGCAGAGTGAACGGCCCTGGGTGACGGCTGGGATATCATGGGAAGCAACTCCTTATCACAGCACTTTATACAGTGTTCTTCACTTGGAAGATGGGAATAGCAAAGGGATGATTAATGAGTTCATCTGTGTATGACATTCAAAAAAATAGCAGTGTTGTTATGTGAAAAACTGGAGGCAGTCAAACCTAATTTTCAGACTCTGCTTAATTCAGGATAATGACAAGAATCCAACACTAATCACACAATACCCCATGCAGGGCAATCTCAGTACACCTGCTGCAGATGTGCCCACTGGGATGAAAGGGTTCCTCACACAAAGAGGGTGGGTTTTGGGTTTCAGAAAGGATCACTTTTACAGAAACTAAGGACACAAATCCACCGGGAATGAAAGGTTACTGGCTGCTAATGCATTTATGGAAAAATGCACACCTAGTGAAAGCTAAGATATGTGGTTAAGGGGAAAGAGAACTCCAATTTCAGTGGTGCTTTACATTAATCTTACTTTCAATTTACCCAAATGAGAAGACAGACCCAGTGGAGGGCCTCTTGGCTTAAATTCTGTTGGTTTAAAGAAAAAAAATCCATGACTTCATGGTATGCAGATGGAAGTTAGCTTCTTCAGAAGTAAGGGTCACAAACTTTCAGATTATTATTCCCCAACCATTTCCCCATCCCTGCCCTCAGCATCTAGTAATGAGGGTAATGAGGGTTTTCCTTTGTTTAATCAAAATGATTTAGCCTCCAGGTACATCCACAAGAAGCCAATTCAGATTTTCTTGGGCACTTAGGGTACTTTTCTGAATGTTAATCTCAAGGACAGTGTCCAGATTTTAGCAGAAGCTACAAAAAAATTGCATTAGTCTATAGTTCTGAAAGCTGTTGTTTTATTTAGAGCCACCACAGAGGGCATTTGGTACATTCACTTCTCTATGCATGAGCTCATGACTGGCTTTCTTTAGTCTCTAGGGTAGTAAATTTTTCTTTTTAAAGAAAGAGTTTTGTGAAATGAAAGAATCTCTAATTACTGCACACAAAGAGGATTTTCATCATTATTTCTAAAGATATGCAGAAACATGTGCCAAGTCCTGTAGGAACTGAAAAACTAACAAATTTGCCTTGCTTATTACATCTGATGAATAATCAAATGCTGAATATTCAGATGTCTGATTAGCCCTTTGTTTTCTCATATGTGGACAGAGATGAACATTAGTTGATCCTTAACGTTAAAGAATTAATAGAGCCACATTCAAGAAGATAAAGGCCAAATCTTTGGGATGTTCCAGGAGGTCACACAAACTGTATGCAGAACCTGGGGGCCTGAAAATTGGAACAATGACACACAAGCCACCTTGTCCATACAGTGTGTGACCTGTAAGCACTCTTCATCTCAGGGATAGCAGATTCTGGTGTTAAGAGCATGGGCTTTTGAGAGCTCGGGATTCAAAACCTGGCGCTACCACTTGTGAGATCTGGGACCTCAGGTAAGTTACTCAACCTCTAAGCTTCCTCCATTAACAAATGAGGACAATAATTCCTACGTCACAGAATTATTTTAAGGATTAAATGAGATACTATGTGATTTGCTTGGCCTGATGCCTTAACACCATAAATGCTCAAGTAATGGTAATTTCCATTACTGTTATTATCACAATGGCTTCTTGCCATTTGTTCTCACTGATCCATGGGCTATGAATAAAGTATAAGGTGAAATTGTGGGATACAGGGCCAGCAGAAACTGTAACCCCCTTTCTCCTGTGCCAGTGGACTGAGAATCAAGATCAGAGAAGGACAAAGTATATTTCAAATCTAAATTCTAATGCTGGTGTCATTTCAGAGAAGGTCTCCTTATGTTTGTCTGGTTTCATATGAACAGATTAATAAAAAATACCCCTGTATGCATATTTAATGGAAAATGTATGTATTCAATGACACTTTAACAGTACATTTTAACTAAGGCCCCCTTTGGAAGCGATCTGCCACTCAGATTAAAATGGAGATTTTGTTGAACTGAACATAAAATTATTAGCAAAAGGAAGGAAAATGAGACTCATTTATTACGTGCTTTCCCTCTTTAATGCCTATCTTCAGTGTTGAGGAGGCAGCATCTATATTTAGAGTGAACGGAGCCCACACACAGATTACGGCGCAGGCCAGTGTCTACCTGACCCTAGTTCATAAGTAGACATGAGTAGCAGTTAGCTGGGTATAAAAGGACAATGGGTGCTGGAGAACACAATGGCTCCTCCCACTGAAAAATACCTGCCTTTTTCTAGTCCCAGAAACCCTAGTGGGAGCAAGCAGCATCTTGTCTCTTAAATATTCTCCACTGGAGCTCAAAGTGGCCTCCATCAGTTAGGTGACCATGTGATTTGTTCTCCAAAGTGACACTTTAGGGCTACACCACACACAGCTATTTAAATGAATGAAATGGAAATAAAATGCAAAATTCAGTTCCTAGATCCCACTGGCTATATTTCAAGGGCTTGCTAGGTACACATGGCTAGTGATGACCACACAGGACAGCACAGAAGTAGAACACTTCCAATGCTGTAGAACGTTCTCCTGGACAGCACTGCTTTAGAAAGTGAGAAATTGGTGTTTGCCACATGCATTGCTTGGAAAACAGGTGTGAACTGGAACTACCCCAGGGAAACCAAGACAAGTGGTCACCCTGTTGTCATGAAAGATATTTCACTTGGGCCTGAAATAAATGAGTATTTAAGAAACCAGGGCATTTTCCAAACCCCAAAGCAACTGTAATGCCATGTTATCGAGGCTCGTAACATGATGAGAAAGGATGCTGAACAGAGTTTCTGATGTGTAATGTCTAAGAGCACTTCCTGCAGTCAAACATTCTGTAATGTTCTATAATCTCTGCTTCCAGGGCAACAGCCACTAGTCAGGTAGTCAGGCTGCTGAGCACGCGGAACGGCTGGTGTGCCCGGGGAAGTAAAGTTTTCATTTTATTTGTGAAGTAAAATAGATGCCTGTGGCTAGTGGCTATCAAATTGGATGGCATGGCTTTAATCACCGAATTCCACACTGGAGAGATTAGAATTTTTCTCCCCAGGGTAATTTGGGTCGGCAGCTCTGTGGGAGACTGGAGAGCATAAACCAGAAGTAGAATAAAACATAATGGGTTATAAAATAGATAAACAACCAGGTCCTACACCATATAGCACAGTGAACTGTATTCAGTATCTTGTAATAAACTATAATGAAAAAGAAGTATGAAAAAGCATACATATATATACATATATATATATATATATACACACACACACACACATATATATCTATATAACTGAATCACCGTGCTGTACACCAGAAACTAACACAACATTGTAAGTCAACTATGCTTCAATAAAAAACAAAACAAAACGTAATGGAATAGTGGCTTTTGGAACAAGGTGGTACCCTACCTCTTTATTTGTGGAGGTGTCCGCGGGGTCACTGGGATGAAGGGGAGTGCTCGAAGACTCTGCACCCAGGGGTGAGGAACTGCCTGGAGATGGAGACTAGAACACAGAGAGCAAAGGAAAACAGTGAGCATCGGGTGAACAGCCCGGCCTTGGGGGGCCGGGGGCGGGGAGAGAGGAGAAAGCTGCACACACGGAAGGAATATTTCAGCCTTAAGAAAACTTCCCTGGAAAGGAACTGCCAACTAGACATAAAAGGCTTGGATTTGTCAAGCTTTCTTTAAACTCCGGCCACGTTTTCAAAGGAGCCTTTACAGCTCAGCCCCACCCACCACTACCCCTGGCCAAGTGTCTGAACACAGCAGAAGTTGAATATCAAACTTAAAGCCCTGGATGAATACAGCTAACAGTGATACTCAAATGTTTGTTTTTAAAACATTTTTCTTATTGAAGGATATAAACCCTTGGCGTACCGTTAATGTCTTATAAGATCACCTGCCCAAGATTACCTGGAAAATTAAAACATGAATTTTTAAAGAGGCAGCTGGGCCTGATCTTGATGACTGGAGACCACATCACTGCGTTTTCCTAGTCGGTTCAGATTTCAATTATTTTGTCTGATTTAATCTGCTGGTCACTGAAAACACAAGAGATATTTCAGCATCCAAACGACGTTATCTTGACTGCTCTTAGAAGAGTTAAAAAAATTCTTTGTTAAATGATATATTTAAAAATAAGGCTTAGAAAAGGTTTGGAAAGTACAGTCCCCATCGGGTGCGCTGCTGCCCCAGGTGGAGGGCTCGGGCTCGCTGCGCAGGCCCTGCTGGAACGGGTATGGAGCGCCAGGGCAGGGCCCGTAAATCCCTGCTGACTGAGCCACCAAAGAATGAAAACAAGCACAGGGGTGAGATTAATGCAGGCACTGAAAACTGACCCTGGCTGATTCCCAAACAACTCTGTGTGCTCCTGAAATCTGGGGGGATGAAGAGAATCTTCAGGTGACCCACAGGGATGCTTGAGAATTCTGTAGTGATGGTCTTCTGAGAGCAAGAACGCACCGCTTCACAGTCTGTTGGTGATGTCTGCCAGAAGGCATAAAACTGAACCCACACAAGGATCTCTCTCTGAGGACACATGGGGATGTGAATGAGGAGATGTATGTCCTGGGCAAGAAAGAAAATCATACGGGTAGTAGCCTGAATCTGCTTCTGCTCTCTGGAGACTGGGCCCCAGGGGAGAGGCACAGAGATACAGTAAAATACTTCTGCAGGGGAAGGGATAATGTTCCACGAAGTGGTGGTGCTGAGGAGGGGAGGGTGCACATTAATGCACAAGCGGGACCTCAGAGAGCACTGTGTGAAATCATTAAAAAAAATACATCTTTCCCTAGAAGTCTGAAATAGAGGAAACTGTAAAGATGACGTGGTGAAATGCAGTATTATTCACACGGACATCATACTGTCCCAGCCTATTGCTGTGAGGCCTGGAATTGTTTCCCACGAGCCCATATACCTGATTCTGGGCAGGGAGGTGAGGACTAAGGAGTCTCTTGAGCATTCAAAAGCAAAACTCAGCTGCTCTGCAGTTAAACCAAGAGGACGAGCGTTAGGGTAACATCAGACATAAAATACCCAAGCCCCATGGTCCCTGGACGCAAGGAAGGAGCCCCGCGTGCCTTTAAAAAGAAACGCACAGAATTTTTCACTGGGCACCCAAGAGAGCTGGTGGGCACTTGCTGAGTCAGCTCCAGGTCTGGCCTTCTCAAAATTAATGTAGTGGGTCGGGGGGTATAGCTCGGTGGGAGAGCACACGCTTAGCATACACGAGGTCCTGGGTTCAATCCCTAGTACCTCCACTAAAAACAAATAAATAAACCTAATTACCCTACCCCCACCAAAATTAATCTAGTGAAGTCTTCATAAGAATTTAATACCTTTACATTTTCCCAGTTTTTCAAATCTGAAGAGCTTCCTTAGATATTTATGTCTATTTTCCCCCAAGTAATTTTCTCTGTCACAAAGACTTTTAAGGTCTAGTCCCTGGGGAAGCTAGTGCAGCTGCTTTTTCTTTAATTGCTTGGTTTGAGGTCCATGTATTAGCTTCATTAAAAACACTCCCAAAGAATCCCATAGAGTCTATTTCTCTAATTATTTTCTGTTGCAAATTTAAAAATGGAGTCTTTGCAACATCACAGGCACCAGGTCATTTCAAACTGGATGACGTGAGAGACAGGTTATCTGGAGAGCAGGCTGGGACGCAGACAACGTAGATCAGACCCCGCACTAAGGGTCAGTGACCAGAGCCGGGCGCCTGCCATGGGACACCAGGCAAGATGCACAAATGTGACTTCGGTGGGCAATGCTCTCACCGAGCCTCTCATGGGAGTCTTTATCAGGGACCACCTGCCCTCAGACACTCATGCTCTAGCCTTCTGCTTGCAATGAAGCCCCCGTGCTTCCTTCTATTTGCACATGCAGTTAGTGACCTCCATCTAGAGAGTTCTTCCTCATTCTCTCCTTTCAAAGCACTCATCTTGCTGAAGCTTTCTCAGACTCTATCCAAGGTTCTGTTCACCCCTGATGGCAGCACATGCCAGGCTTTAGAATGATCTGTTTCTCTGTATGCCTCCCCTCGCCCAAGAGCTCTCTGGCTGGGCTCTTGTCTTACTCACCTTTTTAATCCAAATGCCTAGCCTTGGGTCTCATAAGCAGTAGGCACCCAGTAACTGTTTACTGAATAAATGATGTCAGTGTGGTTTCCAGCCTTACCATGTTTTCCCACTTGCATGGAAAGCAGTCAATAACTACTCTCTTACATTGTTTTTCGTGGTCAACAGGAAACCTCTTTCTGATATAGGACCCCGACACCGTTATGTGTAGAACATTACATCTGCATTCCGAAATGCAGAAACGGTCTTTGCCAATGAAGATTCTGACCTTCGCTTCAGCAAAGCTCATCTGAAGCAGAAAGCTGTCCCCAAATGAGAGAACCTCACCTGGTGGAAGCCTGCTCCTCACCACACCATTGCTGACAAAGTCAAGGTGGACAAATGCTTTCAGAGCAGACAACCTCCACGGAGCCCTGACAAAGGTGTTCATGTCAACTCATCACAAATGTCTGCTTTAAAAGCCTTCTGCCCCTTACTCCCAACTTCTGTCTTGTTATATTCTCAGAAGTGGAGAGAAACCAGAAGTTGGCTAATACTTTTTACTTTCAAAGAAGGTACTGGAGGCAAAGTTTAACCAATGAAATACGATGAAAAAAGTAAAAACTATCATTACATATTTCTGTCTGGAGTCTCATGCCTTCTGGGTTGCTAGATGGATATTCAATTTTAGGCAAATGAGACCAAAAGGTGGGAAGCAAATGTGGGCCTGGAAATTCACAAAGGTACATGCCACATGGCGCACCTACAAGGAGGTAGTGTTCAAAGGTGACTCCGCAACTCCCTGCTCCGGTAATTACAGGAGGTCTTCTAAGCTCAACAGTTTGTCTTCAGCAGACTATGTTCTAGCAGATGCTCCACAGCTATGATCTAAATTTACAGCCACCGCCCTGGGGTTCCACAAAGCAAAGCCCTCAATCTTAAGACTTAGGCTCTTCAGTGTCAGGACAAGAGAGGAGAGTCCTGTCCTTAGGCCTAAGGAGACAAAAGCATCCCAAGGGAAAGCCGATCATTCATTTAAAATCCAACTGAACATCTTCTAGGGGCAAACACCATACTGCTGGTGGTAGGGGTGAGACAAATAGCTCACCAAACTTTTGGGATATGCTTGGAGGGGAGAAATGCAGTGCACAAGTAATTATTATTCATTTATTCCTTTAACAGACATTTCAGTGCCTCCTTATGTTCCTAGCACTGGGCCAAAGAGGCAAGAGATGTTGTGGTCCTGTCCTTCACCCCTTTCCAGATAATGGGAGGAGGCAGACGTGTGAAGTCAGTGCCGGGGCAGGCGGCTAGGATATTAATTCATACCTTCATACCTAGGGACACGGGGTTGGGAGGGATGGATTCTGCAGGAGGGGGAGGGGTGTGTTTCAGCAGTGCTACATCGGGAAGGAACTGCTTTAGCTGAATCATGAAAACTGGATGGTATTCATGCAGCAGGATGGGATGGGATAGGGAAGAGCTGGAAGGTACTGGAGACAGAGGCAGGGAGGGAAGCTCAGCTCTGCAGGGAAAGGAGAGAGGAGCTCAAGAGCAGGGCAGGGACCAGCCACTGGGGACCCACTTGGTGACAAACTCTGCCTACTCTGCCCAGAGGGTATGTTCCTCTTGCGTCACTGGCCTGTTGTCCTCACTGAAGCAGCACATTCTAGGCACTTAAGAATGATTTCCTGAACTGAACTGAAAGATCTAAAGGGGGGAGAGGTTATCATTTTTGCCCTTTCCTTTCCCTTAAGCCTCTTTGATCCTTGGACATCTGCTCAAAGAAAAGATTACCACCCAGAAAAGTTGACATGATGACACTGAGAACATCCCAAGGCCATGGGTCAAGGGGCCCCTGGCTCTTTCCAAATGGACTGTGTTCTTTTTGGAAAGGCCCTAGACTGAGCAGGACCGAGAGCAAAACTATGCTTTGCACAGGGATCTTGAAAGACTTTTGGAGGAATCACAGCGAAAAGACACCAATGACCTGGGCGTTTACTCATTTACAGCGTCTGGGGAAGCCCTGAGCCCTGGCTGTGCCCGAGAGGCTCTTGGTTTAGCAGGGCAGATAGACCCATAAACACACGCACAGTGTCCTCTGTAACTAGTGTCTTGTCTGAGTCCTAGGGGAAAACAGAAGTCACCGTAACATAAAAACAACCACTCACAAGGTTAGCGTCCACTGTAGCAGTCCCTAGCATCCCCAGATGCTAATCCCCTCCCCAGACACGGGCATCTATCTGGTCCAAGTCTTCGTCAGTTGGTCTCTGTTGACTGTTGGGACCATCTGGTGTTTCTAGGCAAAACCAAAAATAAAACAGCAAATGCACTGCAGAGTAAAAGTGCAAGTCCTGTAAAAATAAGTAACTAAAAAGCAGAATTTCAAGAAGTTGAAGGTGGCAAAGCTGGAGAACTGCTCAAACCAGGTATGGACCACTGAAGAGCAGGG